ATTGATAACTACCAAAATTTCTAAATTTGTGACTAAAAATTATCACTTTTGAAAAATGGCTGGTTTAGACGATTTAAACATGTTTATGACATGCGGGACCCACCCGTCAAGGCTGACGTGACGGTAAAGCCAACTCCATTTATTTTGACCGCTAAGTTGACTGTTATGACATGTAGGGCCCACACATCATCCTTCTTCTTCCTCTCTCTATCTTTTTTTGGCATTTTACCAAACACCTCATGTGCATGGGAGGGAAGTAGGTTAACTCCGGTGACGCGCCCACCGCGAATACTCCCTCGTTGCTCCTGATCGAGGAAGATGGTCCACAGACGCCCCATCCTTGCGCACCTAGGACGACAACGAGGTGCGTGCCTCATGTGCCCGAGGTGCTTCGCCAAGGTGCTCGCCATGGTTCTCGCGCGCGCTGCAGGAGCTGCTCACCGTGGTGCAGCCGAGCCTCGTGGCAGGCGGGAGCCTCGATGTCCCGTTCCAGCAGAAGGGGAGGAGAGTGTTGCGGAGCTCCGACTCACCCGCGGTCGTCGCAGGAGGCGAGAGCGAGGCCGGAGCCGGGTGCTGCTGCTTGTGGCCGCTGCTACTCCTCCTATCCAGGAGGATGTCGTGCTGGTCTTTTTGGAGGTGGCAGCGAAGGACACGGCTCCGACGACTGTAAACACGGCAGTGGCCTGTGGCGGAGTGCGGCATGCGGCTCGGTGGCGTGGGCTCGGAGTTCGAGGAGCGACTCCTGGAATATGTAGTGCGCGTCGGAGAGGTGCAGGAAGCCGTCGAGGAGGCAGTCGACGGTGTTTGACCCGCTGTGTAGTGCGGCGAGGGCTCCGGGGTGAGCAGGAGCTCGGCGAGCGCGGCGTGGATCGCGTCGAGGTGGGCGAGGCCCGTGATGCTGTTGCTTGCAGCGCCGCTGCTGCTCCTTGCCGCTGGCCACGAGCTCCAGCTCGAAGGGAGGCCGGCGAGGGCGGCTGCAGCAGGGGCCTAGAGCTCGGAGCACCTCGGCTTCGCATGCAGCTGCGCGGGCTTCTCCTCCGGCACCCTCTGGCATGGAAGGCCACCAAAGTGCAGGGCGGAAAAGGCCACCGGAGCATGAGGGGGCAGCTGGGCGCAGGCTGAAAGCTGCACAAGAGTTGTTTGGAAAAATGCTAAAGAAAGATAGAGAGAGGAAGAAGAAGAATGACGTGTGGGCCCCACCTGTCATAACGGTCAAGTTAACAAAGTAAAATAGAGTTGACTTTGCCGCCACGTCAGCCCTGTCGGGTGGGTCCCGCATCTCATAAACATGTTTAAATTGTCTAAACTGGCCATTTTTCAAAAGTGGTAGTTTTTGTCACAAAATTAAAAAAATTTGGTAGTTATTAGTCACTTTTTTGAATGTGGTAGTTCAGTGGGACGGCAATCCCTGATGTGGTAGTTTTTTTGTCAAATACTCGGCAACGACCTGTGCCAGCTAGCTGGCGGACGACAACAAAGTGTAGGACGTCTGGCGAGGAGCTTAGGAGACGGACGCTGCACACGTACGGCAAAACATAGAATATGTTAGTTTTATTTTGTGCTATGTAAATCCAAAAATTAATGAAAACGACATGCCTACTTGTATTTTGTCCGGTTTGTTCAATATGTGTAGGGATGTTTGATAGACAGGGTTTTTCGTATCTTTTTGCATGGGCTGACGTGATGCCATTGGAGATGTAGATAGATATAGTTAAAGGGTCTGTCTAGGACACATCTAGATGTGACATAGTTATGTCACATCTAAATTGATGTCTACTTTGTTTGTGGTCTATTTTTTTTATCCTAGTTTCTTTATTTCTTGTTGCTACATTATATACTTGTAGGAGCTTAGATGTGATATCCTTAGAAAACATCTAGATGTGAATTAGACAAATTGATATTTTAACTCGGCAAAAATACAGAATAGCCAGAGAAAACTTGTGAGGGATCTGATCTGAAGCACGGCCTGCGCGTTTCTTTCTATTCTACTATTATAATAGTGAGAAGAAAGAACAAGAGAGATAGGATCAGAAGGAATCGTTTGCAGATGTGTGAAACATGGAATAGTAGACTCGAAAACAATACAATACAATACAATACAATACAATACAGCAGATGAGATGAGATTAGGGCTGGGCATTCGGTTTATATGGTTAATACGGTTCGGTTTATTCGGTGTTTTATAATTTCGGTTTTGAAGAAACGGAAACCGAATTAATCACACAATATTTAGAAACCGAACCATATTAATCATAATATATCGGTTCGGTTTATTCGGTTAACCGAAAAACCAAAATACATGCACTCATCAGTATATATCACAAGAGCTAGCAACCTTAACATCAGTCAATGCTTTATTCGGTCAAGCAAACTAGTGAACATAACTAAGTGTAAAATCACATGGGGCGTTACATGTATTATGTAGGGAAGAATATGTGTGATGCGTGTAAACTAAGCAACTCATGCATTAATTGATACACTAATTGCTAGTATTCCATAAGCAAGCGCCGGGCATGCATACATACTCCTACGCGATATTGCATGGATAGAAATCTTAATAAGTTTTCAAACAAAAAAAAGAAATCTTAATAAGTACTTGCTAGAAGGATACGGCCATTGACTATGTTGCATGCAAACAATAGTAAAATAATCTAAACAAATTCAGTTAGCCATGCTAGTATGGCGTTATATAGGAGTACTAGTTAGATTGTGAGATTAGAAACTCATCTAGGGGCTGGCCCGACGTCTGCCACAACCAACAAGTATTTGTCAGAGGACGCGCCCCCGCTGAACTTTCGAAAACAAGGTATTGCATGGGGTATCGTACATATCGGTTTTTTCGGTGTATTCGGTTTTTGGGCACTGGAAACCGAACAAAAACCAAACACCGAACAACCTTAAAATTTCCCACCGAACAAAAAATCGAATCACCAAACTAATAGATAAATCGGTTAATATGGTTCGGTTCGGTTTGGTTTTTCGGTTTTCGGTTCAAAAGTGCCCACCCCTAGATGAGATGAGAGGCGGACGGATGGATCTCATCTGACTGAGGGTCATGGGAGAGAGCAACAGTGGGCAAAGGGGAGGGGAGGGGAGGGGAGATCCGTTTCTTCCCCTTCCCCGGTGCCGGCGCCGGTCCTCTTTTTCCTGCCTCTACGGCCGCTGCTTGCTCGTCCGCCGGCCAGCTATCTGTCTGCTATTTTTTTTTGTTTGTGTGTATATGTCGCAAGTTTTCTTGTTTTATTTTTGGTTTGGTACTCTAGCTAGGTCTAGAATTGTTTTAGTTCTTTTTATAATTTCAAAAAAATCGAGGGATGTCTCAGTTTTTATTAAAAGAAAGAAATATTTGGTCCAAAGTTGAATGAGGGTGTCATGCAGGGTTAAATCAGAAGATAAACTGATGAAACACATGATGCATTAGTGGATACATATAAATCTCACGGGTGATTTGAGGCGGATTTGAGGCGGATACATATAAATCTCATGCAGGGTTAATAAACTATATGTCCAATACTTGCACGCACGCACGGGCATTTTTGCTACTATTAATAAATAAATTGGTAAAAATCAGAGAATGCGAGGCGGATAGACAATCAAACCTGGCCAAATGGGACCATGTGACATATGTGGTAAGCAATTCAAACCAATTCAAAAAAAAAACCTGGCCAAATGGGCCTGGGTTAAACGGGCCAGGCACGGCTCTGTGCTTTTTACCCCCGAACGAACCCCTCTTGCCCTCCTCCGTCTCTCCCCCGCACTCCATCGCCTTGCCGCCGTTCCCCGCAACCCCCTAATTCCTCTCACATCGATCGCCCGGCGCGCTCCTCGTCCTCTCCAGATCGCCCGGCCCGGCCCGAGGTGAGCACTTGTAGTACATCCCGGTCAGCTTGGAGTTGGTTCCGATTGATTGGTTGGTAGGCGCTTAGGGTTCATATATAGGTCTCGGATCCAGCCAGCGCCGTCTTGTATCCTTTCCTGCCTGGCTTTGAGTATTCATTCATTCGTATGACTAGGATACTAGGATTTAATTAGTTAGGGTTTGTTTGTTTGTTTGTTTGTATGGTTCGATTATCCGTATTAAGGAATCAATCTGACGTTTTAGTTAGGGCTTGCTTGCTTGGTTGTGGTCAAATTTTGGTTTCTCAAATGGTGTATGAATTCTTCAACTGTGCCTGTCGCGATTTTGGAAAATCCGAGGATGAAAGATGGGCAAACTTGGGGAAATGCTAGATCCACTCGAAACCAAGCAAGCAAATCCATGGATCAAAATCAACAAAACTTCATCATGCCAACAAATCACAAAAAAAAAATACAATTCATGTTCTAGCTCTGTTTGGATAGGTAACAATATTTTTTGGGATCCTAAAATATTTATGCACAGGCACCACTTAACCTCTAGTCATATGTGCTGCTTTCCAGCTCTGTTGTTTGCAAGTTTATTTATGTATTTTATGTGATACTAATATTTGCCAATGATGATGTATCTTTTGCCAACCAACCAATCTCTAGTCTTCTTCTTCTTGACGACTTCTGTAAATGCTCACTATGGGATGCCCTTGCACATGGGATGCAATTTTTTTTATTTCCCAGCTGTTTAGTTTATTGTTTCCTTTGATTGATGCTGAGGCATTAATTCTGGAGATGCAATTTTCTTGCTCACAATATATAATACAATGAATGATGGCATCTCTATGCTACTTTGAACCAAATTATATGTTAATTATTTTTCTGTTTTGGGTGATTGAGTGTATTCATTCATTTTGTTTAGTTGCCTATCAGTATAAATACATGGCTGAATTGCTGCTTTCACTTCATATTAATAACTATTCTGTCGCACAATGCAAATTTGCTGCTGTCCTAACTAATTAAGTAGAAGCTTTAGATTGGTGCTGTATGGTCTCTTCCTGACATTAAATCATCCTCTGTTTGTGCTGTCTGAACCAGGTAGCAGCAACCAACTGTTCTGCTGCTGCAGTCTTCTTCACCGCCAAAAGGAAAAGATGCTCTACCAAATCCACTCCCATGCCGAAATCCAAGCCCTGCAGGCCCGCACCGATGAGCTGGGCCACTCCAAAGACTTCATGCTTGTGAATCTTGTCTCTTTGGAGTCGGTGCGCATAGCGAGCGAGTCGTATGCACTCCTCCGCCCGCTGATCGTGGAGTCGATGTTCTGGGCATGCTCGGAGCTGGAAAACCTCTCGGTCGTGGCAGCCTTGTCGCTGGAAATCCAGATGCTTGAGCATGATGTGTTACCCCAGCTCAAGGTTCAGGACCCCAAGCTGGAACGGGGCGCCCTGCAAGCCCTCCTCCTCATGAAAGACTCAGCAATTATGCTCTTAAATCTCAGGAAGCGCTTTATCGTAGCCTTGGGCGTATTGCTTGCCGAGGAGGATCAGGTCTCAGGCCGAGTCAAAAAGCTGAGCGAAATGCTAAAGGATACTGTTGATGGTGTACTCAAAGGTAATGGTAACATTGTCTTGCTTGAGAAGCGTGTCCTGTTGCTGGTCAATCTGGTCACCGAAGTGTTGGAGACCCCGGTTCTTTTCTGTGATCCTGATGAGTATTCTGATGAGTAGACTTATCAGCCAGCTCGAGGCTGTTGTGATGAGTATTTCTTAGGGGCGTGGCAAACAGTTTAGAATCAAATGTTGCGATGTATTTCTTGGACCCTCCTTTATGTTTGGATGTGTTATTAATGGATTTTAAATGATATGTATCTTGGGTAGTGTTTTCTCATTCTGTGCTAGTAGGGTACAACTTGCAATTACTTTCAGTTTTTTTTTTGAGAAACATCCATTCTGTGTTTTACTGTACAGTCACATGGAGGTATTCGCTCTTTCGGGGGAATATATGCCAAAAGAATATAGTATCGTAGAAAAGAAATCCCAAATATAAGTCTTTTAAGAGGTTTCACTAAAAGACTACATACGGATGAATATAGACATACTTTAGAACATGGATGGATTCATTCATTTTGCTCTGCATGTACTCCCTCCGTTTCGTAATAGATGACTTAACTTTATACTAAAGTTAGTACAAAGTTGAGTCATCTATTTTAGAACGGAGGGAGTAGTTTTCTACTAGTGAAATCTCTTAGAAGACTTATAAATTTAGGGACGGAGGGATCTGTGAGTGTCCATGATTAAATCTTTGCAAATACTATAAACAAAACATTACCTTGTATTTGAAGCTGAATTGAATTGAAATGTGAGTAGCCTTCCACTAGCCTGCCAAGGAGAAAGGAGCCCACCGTGCGCCGCCATTCCATCCTCCATATCTCCATTTCCTCTTGTCGCGCCGTAGTCCTCAACTAAACTACGCCGCTCCACCTTGCTGTCACCAGCCCCTTCTTTGCCCACCTCCTCCTTCTTCTGACACACAGATCTAGTTGCATCGGTCGCCGCGCAACAATCTTAGCCACGACGAGCTCCACCACCGTGCGGTTCGGGAGCCACGCCGCAGTCCTCAACTAAACTAGACTGCTCCACCTTGCCGTCACCAGCCCCTTCTCCGCCCACCTCCCCCTTCTCCTGACACGCAGATGTAGTTGAGGACTGCGTCAGATCTAGTTGAGCCGGTCGCCGCGCAACAACCCTAGCCACGACGAGCTCCACCACCGTGCGGTCCGGGAGCCACGCCACAGCAGCACACCCTCCGGCCACAGCCCTATGCGCAGACGTACATCGCCTCCCTCTGGCCCAGAACGCAATCCGACGCCGCAGTCCGCGCCCAGCGAGGGGCGGCAGCAAACCTCGCCTTCTCCGTGCGATGCTGCTGCCGCTGTAGGCGTCCCCACCCCCGTCCACTGCTCTCCCCCATCTGGTGTGCAACACCAACGTTTCCTCTCCTCTAACTCGTTTTTTTGCAGCAGTGATTTCTCAATGTGTCCTCTGACTCGGTTCTTATTGCAGCAGTGATTTTGTTGGCGAAGGTGCCTAGTGATTTGTTGGTGAAGCTGGCACACAGGCAAGTGATTTCTCCAGTATCTACTTAGCTTCTCTGTGTTCTCAGTTGCTGATGCTTTGCTGTATCAACTCTGGGTGGCTAGTGATGGAAGCATGCAAATGATATCTACTTCTCTCATCTTGCTTGGTCCATTGGAGTACACAAGTATGGTTGAGATTCTCCTCAAAGTGCAGCTTCACATCTTGAATGCATATGATGTTAGATTGTTACAAGTATTGGGACTGAGTGTTTTTCTACGCTATTAATACTAAACCTAGCTATCGTGCAAATGATTCAAATCATCCTGAAATGAGTACAACCGATTCTGCTATAGTCTAACAGAGGTTGTTGGCCTTTTCTTTTTGGTGTTGGACACACATAATTGCTACCAAATTACTAATAACTTGACTGACTAAAGATATTAAATTACTTAATTAGTGATATTAAATTTCTTAACTAGTGACATTAAACTTGCCTGACTAAAGGTATCAAATTTGGCCTGTTTCCTAGTGAATAAGGCTATCATTTCAGATAGCGTACCAGACCTTGTGGCACTTTTTGGGACAGCTTCATTGGTAAACCAGATTCACATCACCATATTTTTCTCATATTGACAGTTTCTTTGTAAAGTGAATTTGCTTGTCTTTTTTTCCAATCACCCTCGCTGCCTGTTTTTGCTTGTGGGATTCCCATGTTAAGGTATTTGTTTTCCAAAGCTAATATTTATTTCTGCTTCCAATTCCTAAGGTTAATTCCTCTGTTCCCAGTTTTCAAATGTGTGCAGCGTGAAACCAATGTTGATGACCTCATGGAAAACACTAGGAGATTATATTTATTTATTTATTTTTGCAAAACTGCATATGCCTACTTTGATGTTGATATCAGAAAATTTCAAACTATATTGCAATTTTTGTTTGCACATCCATGGTTTTCACTTTCAGTGAGATTTCACTGTAATTCACTGAATTTCATTAATTTCAGTAGACACTGAAATTTTACATTTCGGTCAAAATATTTCAGCAAATTCAGTAATACATAGGAAATCAAAAAAAATTTAAAATAATTTTTGAAAATTTCAAATATTTAATTAAATTCAAATGAATATTTCGGCCTTTTGGCTGAAATGCAAACTGAAATAACTGAATTTCACTGAATTTCAGTGATTTCAGTTGGTGCTGAAATTTTGTTGAAACTGAAATTGAAAACCATGTGCACATCCCATTGCCAATGATGCATTTATTCCTATCTGTATCCCACAGCTCTGAACCCCATGCCGATAGCTGTCCGTTTCAATTATTTTGGCATATCCATGGTTTGTTGCTTAATTCTTAACACTATTTTGCCTAGCTTATTCACTTGTTTTGCCTAATTTATAATATATAATTATTTTTGTAGTGCATCGTTGGTTACGACTCCAGCTCGCGCGCCCTCCGTGGATCAGGCATCAACGGTCGCAGTTCTGAGGATGCCACCTCCTCTGGTGCTCTGCATCCATCTTCCCCACTAAGGTGAGCATTGCGCCGTCGTTCTTCCTTTGTCTCCCCCGCGACAACTCAACTATTTTTGCGCATAATTGGGAGTGGATTGGACCTATTAATTCTTTTGCTCCGTCATTGTTTCGGTAGGCAGATGCATTTTTTGTAGAAAAATAATCCAGAGGTGTGGTTTTGGTCCCCTGGAGGCTTACAGTTCTTCCGACGCTGGACTATTGCTTTCAGATTAGCTTGTTACTTTAGCTGGGAATCAGAGATTTTACGGAAGTAATGGTGTTACTTCAATTGTAATACTGTGGATGCATTTATATAGCTTTTTGTGCTTTTTGCTTGTGTTGTGTCTGAGCCGGTGATTGCGAACTGTTTGTATTAGTTTTCTAGCTAGGTAGCACATCCAAGGCGTCTTTTATGCAAATAAACTGTGTTTATTGCTTCATGTGTTTGTTAGGCAATTTAGTGTCATTTTTGTTAGGCAACATTGTGCTCCTAAATGTACTGCATTAGCCTTTCGTTACAAATCTGGGTGTGCCTCATGTACTGCATTAGCCAAAAAAAAAACTGCATGGTTATGCAAATATGGAGCATGCTGCATTATCGCAGATTAAATTATGGCATGCTATTCCATATTGTTTCATGTTTTCACAATAAAACTAGAACTAAGAACTAGTTAGCATTATGAAATGATATTGGTACACATTAGGCATTAGTTTAATTTTTCATTAGGCAAAATTACTTTTATGTCAGGTTAAGACACATTTATGCATTAGGCAATGATATTGGTATATTCCTTATTCCATAACATAGTTCTATGTTATGAAAAAAATACTATTCTGCATAAGAAAAACCAATTTCTCCATCATGGATAGTACTTCACATAATCAGGTGAATAATACAGTTTTGCCTAATATGGACCTAGCAATTTTTTAGACAATATTCTAATAACCACCTGACATCAAGTAGAGTATTTCAATCCTTCATTAAGCAATTATAAGCTCCAAAATACAGTTCCACCATTAAGCAACGAATCTGTATAGTGTTGCATCAGGAAATAGTTAGATTTAGCATTTTAAGTTACATTACCTAGTAACTTAGAAATATATTATCAAGCATCTTATAGTTAGCTTTAGCATTTTTTATATTCATTATTATTGCTTAATCAAGAATACTATTGTCTAACACTTAGCACTATTATTGCCTATAATATGAAAAAGTAGCATTCGTAACTTTGATTTGTGTTTCAATGGACCCAGCACTCCGCCTCATCCTTCATGCTTGGCTCTTCGGTTTTGTGGCGCAGGTGTGCGCGGTGAGCTGGGCGCTAGTCATGGATGGGGATGTTGCTATCGCTAGGGGCCGCACCGTGGGGTCTCGTCTTTGGTATATCGAGCACCAGCTCCGATAGCTGCATGTTCCACAGGCTACAGCAGCTCGGCATGATGCTGTGCGGCGCTTAGCTTCCCATCACAGCCTCCCTCCCTGAGCATCTCCATCCTTTGCACTTCTCTCTTCGAGCACTTCATACACCCGTAAGCCCTATTCCATCTCCACCTAACTACCTCATTGCAAGATGCAATAGCTAGCTAGCTCATTCGTGAACTATACTTGCATATTCAGAATTTATAAACTGCTTATATTACGAAGATAATATTGCGTAATTGCCTGAAAAAAATACAATCCACTATAACATTACCATATTTGCTTCATTTGAGCTTCTGATTTCTAAGCGTACATGGAAACACTCGATTGTCCAATTTGTACTCTGATTTTGGCATAACTTGCTTTTATTTCACTTGCAGGCTTCACCCTGACCAAATTCTGTCTTTTGCAGCCCCCCTATCGCACACCTTGGAATGGTGCTTCTGCCTTTTACAGCCCCTAAGACTGCAGATTTTAGGTGAGTCCTCAGCTGGACCTACATGTTTATGCATGGGAGGGGGCAATAGGGGAGGTGTTGATTTGTTGGCAGCAACAAGGCATTCTAACCAGGCCAGTTCCTCACCATTACCCATTAAGATTAGTATTGCTGTTTTTTGACACCGCAATCTATACTCTTAATTTAGTGCTATTTCTCAATTCAAACTGAAATTATATAACTGAAATACTCACTGGCTGCAATTTCTACATGGTGGAAAGTTTGT